GCCGGGTCAGAGGCCGCAGAGGCACGACTCGGTCCAATGCAGCGGCGGCAGTTGACTCCCAAGCCGCCGTCTGATTTTCCACCGAGTCATGGACCAGATCCTCCGGATAAGGCCCAAGCTCCGTCAGGAACCTCTCTGGGTCCATCAGTCACCTGGGACGGAACCATCTAGGCGGTTCCGTCTCCCTGCGGCGGGGGGGTGCGGTCTGGAAGTACAATACACTAGTACTGCAAGACCAGTACTGCTTGCCAATTTGTATATATAGTTAGTTCTGGGTGGAGAGCCTTTGTCTATATCGCAACAATAGCAGAGGCATAATCAATAAGGATACAGAAAAGGTCTTCTCAGCACCTTTATCTAGCCTGTAGAATTAGTAGAGGTACTTTCTGTCAATGAACATATACCAGGAAGCAAGGGAGATAAGACTGTCAACGATTAGAGTCCGTTATTGTTAGTATTGGAGAACGTTTTCTGCAGTATATAGTAGGCAGTTCATTTTGCATCTGGAGACCATGCTTTTATTAAACCATTTTTTTCTGAAACTTGCAATGATGCTATCTGCCTCTTCACTTTTGTAAAAGAGTGCTTTTAAAAAGTTTATAGAGGTGAAGATAATTCACCCTTTTTTTTTTCAACTGAAGAACATAAAATTGCACTGTTAAATTTCAATGGTCCAATCTTGCAGAACTCTATAGGTTATAAACAAAAAGGGGAAAGAACTGTATGTAGCTCACTGGCTATAGATTACACGAAATAAGAAACTTAGCTACCCTTTCACTTCTCCAAGTATGGTTGATACCAAGTGATGATCTTAATGTATAGAAGAAAAGGTTTCAGGTATGTTAACAGTGGTCCAAACTGCATGTTAATTATACATGTCCCATATCTATATAAATAAAAATGTAAATGTTCATTTGTTCAAAATCTTAAATCTCCGAAAGTTCTTCACTGATTGCTTTGAAATTTTGACACAACGTTGCATTCGAATACGCGCGTGTTTTTATATACCTACTATTATATAGATGTCACACCTGTGACACAAACGTGCGCTTTCTCTTTTCTTTCTTTTCCATTTAACCAGACTGAGCCACAGCAACGTGTGGCCGGGTACAGCTAGTTTATAATAAAACTGTATAGATCAATTTTTCTCAACCTTGAAAACTTCTAAGACGGGTGGATTGCAACTCCTACAGTTCTCTTGCCAGCACTGATATAGATAAAACATGTATATTTACCTTAATTCCAGGTAACCCAGGAAGTCCAGGTAGTCCAGGTTCACCCTACCAAATTAAATTATATTGTATTATAATAGAATATTACAATATTTTAATAGCAGGAAAATATTTGCACAAATCAAAATATGTTCAGTATGTTGTCGCTACTTCTTACTTTATATCTGCTACTTAAAATACCTTCCCATTTAATACAGTGGGACAAAGTTTCAGTTTATTGGAAAGGACAGTGTCATTTTTTATATACTACACGTCTGACAAATCAGATTTCAAATACATCTAGGAAACCAAAGTTATTTATTTGAACACATTACCTTTTGTCCTGGTCTACCCGATTGTCCAGGTTCCCCCTAAACAAAGAAACAAATTATAAAGCAGGAGATTAAAATTAAAGGATGGCATTAACTTCAAGATAAGAAAGAAAATACAGAAAATTTAATTTTAGCATACATGTGAAAAAGTTCTTGTTACTCATATTACCTTAATTCCCGCAGCAGAAGATCCAGGATCACCCTACATAATAATAATAATGATAGTAATTAATGGAGGCAGAGGTTTACTTCAAGTAAAAAAAAAAAAAACTACTGAAGAAGAAAAGCATACATTGGCTGATTACATAAAAGGCAGCCAAGAACAAGCATTGATGGATATTAAAAACTGGAACTTACTGAATGTTCAAGAAACAAAGCATGAATATTGAACTAATGAAATAAAAACCAGAACCGAATGCTGGCAAGGAAAAGTATTACATGGTCAATTTTTATAAAAGATTGAGGGAAAGTGGATACAGTTAAAACTTGGCCATGACTTGTACACTGGAAACCAGAAGGCTTGATTTTGGCTGCTCAAGAGCAAGCTAATGCAATCAAGACCAGATCTGAAAAATCATCCAATGATTCCAAGTGCAAATTGTGCAAAGCAGAAGGAACAGTAGATCATATACCCAATTTGTGTAAAAAAAAGATTACACAAACTGACTATGAACAGCAACATAACACAGTCACCAAAATAACATTTGTAAAAATTAAAATGTGCCATTAATAAAAAAAAATATTGGTGGGAACATACTGTATAGAAAAAGTAATCCAAAATAAGCATGTTAAAATATTGTGGGATTTACAAATACAAATACAAACTGATAAAGTATTAGCCCAAGAAAGCACTTTAAATTGGTTTATTATTTTATAAATGTTTGTGGGTCAAGGAGGAATAGAGACTTTGACTTTAACTGTTTCTAGCTGAGGAAGAACAGCTTGCTGATTCATCTACCATTTACAAAGCTCTACCAGCTCGCAGGGTGGAATATTGTATGTCACATGTAGGAATGTGAGAATTGGCAATGTATTCCTACTAAGTTTCACCTTTGAATCTCCTGTGTATTTGGTTAAAACTGAGTATTTCAAGTGTGGGAAGGAAAGCTCTATAAATGCAAGCCAAAGTTACATACAGTTGAATTAGAATTCATGAGTAATCTGTGGTGTTTGTCCACATATATGTCTTCTGAAACAGAACAAGAAAACCAGGAAAGCCAAAGCAGAAAATTCTGGATTCAACTGTTACACAAAACAGGCTTCAGCCAATCTATATGAACTAAGGAATTTGTTCCCTCAATTTTTTATACTGTTGACTGAAGGAGAAAGGAAAAAGAAATGTGCTAAATGTCTTGTGTTCAAACTGTTTTGAGCTCATAATGTCCCATTTCAGTTTGAAACAATTGCCTGAAGCTCAGAGCAGACTTACCAATTTTACAAGAAATATTTAAATATCATAACAAGAAATACAAAGAAATCTGGGGAGGAGATTCCACAAGCCAGGAGATGTCACGGTAATTACTGACATTTTGCAGAAGAAATATTATAATAAAAAATAACAGCCTCTCACAGTAGGAATCAGGTTTTGTGTAATAAAGAGTGAAAATAAAGCTCACTCTGAAAAAAATCCTAATAAATTGTCCCTTTTCAGCAATATTATAATGAAGTTTATATGGATGACATCAGTCTAATTCGCTATCACAAATAATATGATGATACCAAGGTTATAGTTGCTAAAAACAAAACTAAATGATTCATATTGATAAAACAAATCCTCTTGACTATGTCTTGCAAAAATTATAAAAATAAACATGTATGCATATATACTGGAACTACAAATTATAATTTTGAATATATCAGTTTATTAAATTTTATCATTAAAATTATAATTATTTTTTTTAAAAATGTATCTTTATTGTTTTTAACTTGAATTTAAATGTACTTTGTGACCTTCTCTATAAATTGTACCTTTTCTCCAGGGTGACCTTTGGGACCAAATTCTCCAGCATCACCCTAAATATCAGAATAAGTTCTTTTAAATTTTTTCTTTTATCAGTTGCTTTCTATTAAAAGCATCCTAAATTTATTTTTATTTACAGTTTTGAAGAAAAGTATAAAATTAGACCAAGGAAATGAACAAAAAGAGTGACAGAGTAATGGAAGAAAGAAGTGATATATTAGAAAAATCAAGCAGTATTTCAGTCTAAGTCTGTACTGGCTCTGGCCTGTCTTCCTGTCACATCAAACTTGGTTTTTGCTTAAGATTTTTTTACAATCATATTTATTGAAATTTAAAATTACAAAGATAAAATTGCAAAGATAAAAAAGTAATACAAACCAAGATTAATATAAGCAAGAAAGAAATAGAAAATTAAAAAGGGGAAAGAGTGGGAAGGGAAAGGGTGATGGAATGAATGAATGAATGAATGAATGAATGTTCTCTAATATTCCAAGAAAACTCTTTTCATCCCATATCTCCTCATTTTTTAATTGACAAATAATAAAACCTCATTTTTTATCAGAAAAAAATCTAATAACATTGATTAGCTATTTTCAACATTGTTTTTCCCTTTACAGAGTTTCATAAATCCCCCAAAATGTAGACATCTGAATTTTAGGCCTCAATAGCATCAGCTATACAATAACAATTAAATGGTAAGCTTTAGTTGCACAAAGTTCAACTGTTTGTTTTTTTTGCCTTTTCATTTCCCTTTTTTGTTCCCTTTTCTTCCCAAATTGCATGCCTTGTTTCAATTCTTCCAGTTACAATGTGACTTACAACTTTTCAAAATGAAAATTCTGATTTTCCATAGTGTTTACAGCACCTTATGAATATATAACTTTGATCTGGGTGCTGATTTCCTAAGTTCTTGTATAAAATGGAATGTATAAAAAGTTGTTGAACACTTCACAATTCAATTTTGAAATTATTTGTTTGTAGGAATAAATAAGTATATATGTATTACCTTTTCTCCCCGTTGTCCAGGATCACCCTAATTGAAACAGAAGGCAGAAATAATGCATTTATTGTTCTCAAAGGACATTCATGCAGATCTATCAGACCTTTATGTATGACCATTGCATCTATTTAATAAATGTAAATTTAAGGATAAAGATTGTAATTTTGACATTGATTCAAATAAAATATTTGGGCTACATTACTGTAATATATTTTTATGCAACTTTTTAGCTCGTTAAAATATTTTTTATTCATGTGTAGCTTACTTAGTATTTTAAAACTTACAAAGCAGAGGACTTCTTATGACTACGTAGAGCAGGGTCCCCAACTCCAGGTCGCAGCCTGTTCGGAACTGGGCTGTGCAAGCGGCTGGCAAGCATGTGCATGTGCACGAAGCTCCCCTTGTGCAAGCGGCGGCTGCTTACTCTCGCATACGAAGCTCCCCTCATCAAGTGGCAGCGGCTTGCTCTCTCACGTGAAGCTCCCTTTATGTGAGCTTCATGTGCCCATCTGCCACTTGCAGGCAACAATTCCCTCTCCCCCCTCCCCACTGGGACACCAAACCAGAAAGGTTGGAGACTGCTGACATAGAGGCTTTAGGCCAGTGATGGCGAGCCTTTTAGAGACTGAATGCCCAAACTGCAACCCAAAATCCACTTATGTATCGTCGGGTGCCGGATGGGTGTGGCCCATTGGGTGGGCCTGGCCCATTTGGTGAGCGTGGCTGCGGTGGTAACAGCAGACTGGGTGGGACTAAAAAGTTCAATCAATCAATTCCAACTTTGTGAGATCTTTTTTTCCCCGCGAGAAGTTGAATTTGATTGATTGATTGAACCTTTTTTTTTTTTCACACAGTGGCAGAGGTCTAAAGCGAAAAGGTTTTATAAAACCCAGCTGAAGGCCTAGGACTGGGGCGATGGTGCGTGTGCCCACAGAGAGGGCTCTGAGTGCCACCTGTGGCACGCGTGCCATAGGTTCTCCACCATGACTCTAGGCTGATTCCTCTTTTAATTCCACCCCGTTGTTCTGCCACTCCTTCTCCTACAGGTTGGAAAACTATAATCTTAAATAATTAATGGCTTTGATTTGACTTTTTAGTATCTTGCAGATGTATCCTCATACTCCATCAAAAGATACCTTGAATTTACTTTTATATTCATAATGCTTACAGATTGGAAAGCATCTTTAAATACTATGATTATGACTTAGGCAATTCATCTTGTTTTAACTTTGCCTCTATATAGTTCATTCAAACATATCTGATTATTGATTTCTTGCACTTCTAAAATATAACAATAAACTAATTTGCTATTAATTTTCATCAGGGAAACTCTAAAATGAGAAATGAGTGCTCGCCAAAGGCCTGTGTTCTTTCCTTATATATGTATAAAGGATAAGATGATCATTTTAAGATCTTGCCCCATTCATAGAAGATCCAAATTCTGTTGTGACCCAGGACTGCATGCTAAAAACACATTAGCATGACCAATGTCATCAAAAAATATAGACCATTAAATCTAAGAGCATTTATATACTAGTGATATAATTGTTTTTTTCTTCTGATATATTTAGAGCCATTTATTCTTGATCAGACTGTATTGATTCACCACCATACTTAAGGAATCCATGATGCTCTGTAAACTTTGATCCCATATGTTTAAAGAATGAGAGAATAGCTTCATGAAGGCAGATTTATCATTGATGTGACAAATTACATGAGTAATATGATTATTAATTATATTTTCTTAAATACTATTGTATACAAAACTATAAATTACTACTACAACTTAAACATCATGTAGTAGAGAAATTTGCAACTATTACTATGTAATCTGTATGACTACTCTATTTGCCAGATACAACTTTTAAGAAAACGTCAAGACTCTTCTTTTTCTTCTTGATCTTTATAATGGGATTTGGACAGTGGTTCAAATACATACTTCTTCAGTTAGACAAATATCTTCTAATAGCTTTAAAAAACCAACTACCTTATGTAAGTTAGGACATTTGGCAATTAATAAGGTTAGAACATATATATCTGCTTTGCATCAAGGCATATTATCTGTCTATGCAGGTTATACTTTGATTATAAGCAGTTCTTCAGGGTTAAGATATGTGCATCCTTTTCAGTCCTGGCCCTTGAGACCTTCTTAAACTGAAAACTGAGAGGGAGAATTGTATTGCTAATCAGGATCAAAATACGGTTTCTCAGAAACTGACTTAAAACTCATTCAGCCATATTTCCTTCAATAATTACAAAACCAGTTAATTTTTAAACAGTTAAACATTTAAACTTTTGCAAAAGACATCTTTGGGTGGAGAACTGGGAAAATGAATGATCCTTTTCATCAAAGGTCAACCTTCTGTAAAGATGTGAGATCCATCTACAGAAAAGGCTCGTGATTTAAATCATACATGACTAGAGAAGAATATAGGGAGTGTGGTGACTCACAAGGTTAGGATACTGGGTTAACGACCAGCAGGCTCATGTTCAAGACCTGGTTGCTACCACAGGATGAGGTGAGCTCTCATCACATGCTCCAACTCCTGCCGACCCAGCAATTTGAAAGCAAGTGACTGTGAGTAGATAAATGGGTACCACTTCAGTGGGCAACTTAACAGGGAAATGAAAGGAACCAACAATTGGGCATCTGCAGAGAATGGTGATATTACCACTCAATCCTTTCAACCCAGAAGTGCTTTGGCGCTCTCAACACAACTATAGTAGTACAGAAGAATCTTATAGGAATAGGCAATATACCCCATTTCTTCTTTTGATATAAGTAAAGTATATTTTACAACAACAAATAGCTGGGTGTGTTTATTGACGATTGTTGTTCTACTCCCTATGAGCTCCACTGACAAATGTAATAAGTCACAAGCTATTCTGCTACAAAAAGATGACTCTCAAAAGAACTGCAAAAAACATCATGTATAAAAATAGAGTGTGAAAAATTACTAGCCAGAATTTTATCTACTAACCTTAAGCCCAGAGACTCCTCTTTCTCCCATTGCACCAGGTTCTCCCTGAAATAATGACATTAAAAAATTAATTAAATTGAACTGGATCAGCAAATTTCACGCCTAAGTGATCAATTCAAAAGTACTATAAGTGTTGCAATAAAAACAGAAATGAAAATGTATATGTTTCATTTAAAAATTCCCTTTATTATTTTTCAAAGGGTGGTTGATTAGTATAAAGAATTAAACTAATACATAGGATAATTATTTTTTGGGTAAAATTATGTAATACATTTATTAATATTTGCCTCATCTCTATCATGAGCTGGCTCTTTTAAATGGAAAGAGGGTAAAGGTGTTTCTAATAGCATAGCATTAGATACAAATCTTAACAAATTGTTTTACATTAATAGTGGAGGTAAGCATGGACAATAATGAAGCAAGATTTTTTTTTTTAAAAAAGATTACTTTAATATGGCTTATTAAATCCATAGTCTTGGGTGTATCTGAGCTGATGTCTCAGAAATAACCCATTTTAAAGTACAAAATCCACAGATGGAAAGTATCTTTATTAGCGTCATCAAAATGTCATGCAACAGCATGTAAACTGTTTACTCCTTTGAAATATTTTTGATAGACTTAAGTAAAGCAGCCCTCCCCAAATTGGGTATTTTCCAAATACTTAAAACTCAACTTGCACAATTCCTAAACAGTTGTCATATTCCTGCAAGGGTAAGGATTCAGAGAATGATGAACTAGTTTAATCTGACTGAGGCAAACCCTCAATATGATTTCCCATATGAAAATGTAGTCCTGTTATCATCTCAGATTTAACCTAATTTTGTACTTCCTGTGTGGAGCTTTCCAAGGTTCTGAAAATATTTTATTTTGCCAAAGCTTAGATCTTTTTTTTAACTAGATCCCTTGAAGTCCTCATATTGGGCAGGACAGGGTTTATTTCAAGCCTATAAACCTGAATGAAGGTGCTGATGGCTGAAATCTACACTTCTGAAAAATAGACACTGTGAATTCTTGTGGCAGTTCTCTTGACACAATATATAGCTCCAAAGTTGATTATAAATATCATAAAGAACAGCAGGAGAACTTACATCCATGTAACCTAGTGAAGGATATTGATACTTCTCCTACCAGAATCAATGACAATCCTGCTACGTTTACAAAATCTGTTGGCTCAGAGTCAGAAGAATCATTCAAAGGCTAACAGGCCAACGCTTGTTATATGCTTTCATCAGTCTTATTAAAAATATTGTATATTGGGCATATATGATGGAACATGAATGGAGAAAGAAGCTAAGCAAGGATGGGCCTAATCACTACTTTTGTAACAGAATCCCCCCATTCCACCCCCAGAAAATAAGTAAACTATAGACCTTGAAAATATCATGGAAAAAAGCAATGGCAACCCACTTCTGTACTGTTGCTATAAACAAACACTGTACAGTGGAGGTGTTCATAACTTTCAAACTCAATTTGAAGCACATTTCCCCTTCTTCACTTGATAAAACAGGATTTTATCATATTTCCAAATATAGATGGAAGGTATTTCTTAATTCAACTTTCTAGGAAATTGGAAGGGTTTCTTGATGAAAAAAGGAAGATGTATAGAGTTCCACTAATTTATGCCAATTTATTTGTAATTTGTATTATAAGTAAAAAACACCCCAAAACACTAGATTTCTTTTAAGTTCTGTGAGCAAGACAGGGATAATGAAAAGTGGTCTTTTAGATATGTTCCTAACATTCTGAGCCAGAGCTGAATGAGAAATTTTCAATATACTTTTCATCTCCCTTATTACCTGCCTGATACCTTAAATTATTTTTTCTAAGGCTGAAAAGCTTTTTTGTCCATCTGGCAAGTTAAGTAAGTAATACATATTTTTAGCGATGTTCTGAATGCTCACAAAACCTGCTTGGGAACTTTCTGTACAAACTAAAGGCAGTGATGTTTTCTACCTTTGGATTTGAAAATTCAATAACCCACTTTATGTAAATACTCCTTTCAAAGAAAAAAAAAAGTGAAGATTCCTTCTATGGAAGGGGAAAAAGAGCATGTCTATTGCAAAAATACCACATAAAGAAACACATATTCTTTGCTAAAAAATTAGGAAATAAGCAATGAAAAGTATTAGTAGATCTAAACAATACAATCCTATAAATCTAAGAGTCAAAAGAATGTAAATAGCCATGGTATTTATTTATTTGTTTGCTTGTTTGTTTTATTAGACATATTTGTCACCCATCTCACCTCTGGGTGGCTTACAAACAATAAAAGTCAATGAAACAATAAAAAAAGAAATATCCATAACTATAGTCATAATTTCAATTAAAACAATGGGGAGGGAGGGAGCAAGATGCATGTAGGGGGAAGTGGGGTGCTTTCTACTCCATTAGCTACCTCCAGGCTCCAGGCTAGTTGGCACAGCCATGTTTTCAAGGCCTTATGGAAGGTCAGAAGGGTGGGAGGGAATCTCACCTGGGGGAGGGCAATGTTCCAAAGGGCAGGAGCCATGGCATAAGAGCCAAGGCTCTTCTCCTGGACCCCACCTGCTGGAATTCTTTGACTGATGGGATCTGCAACATGCCCATTCTGCTGGCACAGGTGGGGGCAGGCCAATCCCACTGGAGTGAGATCCAATCCCACTTATTAATCTAATACAAGAGAATCTCAAACTCTCTTCACACAGCAAGCTTTCATTAAATATTAAATAGCTAATTAAAATGTCTAAATTACTAAAATGACTAAATATTTTCTAGTTGTGATTTTTCTCTCTCTTTCATTTCAATGTGATTTAATAGGAATCAGTTCCATGACTGTAGGGCAAAACAAGACTGCAGCAAGATCTTTTCTGGGAATTGTCAAAACGATGCACAAAATGAACGCAGTTACTATGGTTATAGATGGAACCCAGTAGCAACTTTATTTTTCATATGCATGAGTTTATTTATGACTAATTGATGCCCTTGCTCATCTTTCTCTCACAACAGTTTTATGAGATAATCAAAACAAAGGAGAAAAAGACTGGTCCATCCTCATTTGAATAAAGCATGTTAATCCAATGTGCTACATTAATCAGCATGATGATTTATTGTGATGTGCATCAATTTTAGAATTTGCCTTGCCAATGTGCATCATTTTAATAGTAAGTCAAAATTTATGTTACACACAGAACAAGTTAAGGTTGGATCACACTTAAATATATCTATGAAGTACTGGGCAATGTACGTCTATGTAAAACAATGCAAATAATTTTTGATATTAGACAATATCAAATTTTTGTTTTCATGTCTACATCTTTTTCTGTACTAAAATATTTTAATCTACGTACTCTGAAACATATAGTAAACTGACATAAAGGCATCGTTTCAATCATATCATAAATTCAGTAACCATTGTTCATTAGAGATCAATTTGTTAAACTTCATAGGAATGCTCAAGAATCTTGAAGAATACTGAGCTTTTTAATTTAATCTTCCAAGTGCAATTTCTGTGTATTCTAATCTACAGTGAATATTAGCAAATATACATGGAGATGTTTAGAAATATAGAACCAAGCATTCCTGAGCTTTGTTCTGTTTTGGTTTACAGAATCTTATTTTGAAAGAACTACAGATTCCTCAAAAGGTCTTAATTCTAATGTGAGAATGCACAGCAGCAGCATCCATAATGCACAATGGAACTAAACTTATTTCCGCTTCATCTGGCATTACATCCTGCATAATAATATCACATATGTCATGAAACTGGCAAAAATTTAACTTTCCATCCTATCTGAAAGATTAAATAATTAAATAACAGCAAAGCACTGTCTTAGAAAGACAAAGCTGCTACCAAACACAGAAGTCTAAGATTTGAAAAGACCCCCAATGGGAACACATCACTATTTTTTTGTCAGTATAAGCTCTCCCTTAGTTTAATGTGGCAAAGAAATAGCTTACTTGGCAAAAAACAAAACAAAACCCCGAAGCCAAAACAAAACAAAACCCAAAGGATTTTAATATATACTCCTATGCATCCGAACATCTAATTAATATTGAAGCACAAACTCATAAGGAAATTTGAGATTTGAGTTGAGAAAGTTTAAAGTTTCAAATTTTCCATAGCAATCTAGTTATAGGTCACAGAAAGCAGAATTAACACTGAAAAATGTTCACAGGAGAAAACAACTAATTAAGTCATTGGTGCTCTCTGTACCTGGTTATTTGCTTGCAGTCATTACATTACCCAACTAGATAACACTCAACAGTGCTGATGAGTGTGATGTTTGCTATACAGTAGCAAACAGTAGCTCATCATGCCGATGTTGGTTGGGGTGTGGTTTTCTTCTTGGTAGTTCCTTGATTGGGGTATTATATTCTGTTTGATTGTTTGTCTGGTGTTAATCCCTTCTTATGGTGGTGTTGGCTGTTGGAGGGGATGTATTATGGTCTTTTGTTTTCTTTTTAGTTTTTTGTTGTCTCTTTTGGTTTGTAAATATGGTTTATTTCTAGGTATCTATATCTGTTGATGGTTGTTTTGTCTGAATACCAAGATTCCAGAAATTCCCTAGCATTTTTGGATTGGTTTTCCCTAGCATTTTTTGGATTTGGAGTTGGCCAGTTGAAAGTGTGGCTGAGTCTGTTCACACCAGAATGCATCCCCTCCAGTAGCCAATGCCCAGAATAAGCAAAGAAAATAATAGATTCTTTATCTGTAGGCATTCATTACGGAAGACAGGCATCATGACATCGTGTTACAATATTGCAAAGCAAGTATGCAAAATAGCACTTAAATAATGACATCATAATACTGTACACATTTCATTATTTTGGCATCATCCTGCTTACGAACAATTGAATAAATTCTCATTTCTGAAACACACCACTTGGGAAAAATGTCCAACATCAGAATAGAGCTATCTGCAGAAACACCCATGGTTAATTTATTATAAGCATATAAGTGAAAAGTCTTTGGATGAAAAGAATAGGTGAAAGAAACAAAGTTTAGGCTATTTTATGTATTTCAATGTAAACTGATGAATATTTAAAAAAGAAGTAGTATCTATGAAGACAACAGTTTGTACATTCATTATAGATTTTCTGCTGTGCCAAATGTTTTTATTCATGCTAAGTTAATCTTTAATAATACAGTTTTATGAGGCCCGTGATTTAAAAATCACTCTATCTAAGATGCAAGTTATTAAAATACCAATCTGATCAGCCAAGAATGACACACCAGTTGCTATAAATTCTAATACACATTTTAAGAGAATTTAACTATTGTTGTTGGGGATAGATTGTCCTTGTGGAAGTTGCAATAACTTAATTTTATTATGGAAATTTAAAGAAACATAAAATTACTGGAAATACTGGAGGGACTTCTTTTCTATATATAATGTTGGATTGAAATATTTATCTTAGTTTAGTTTAAGATTTAATGCAGATTACCAGTCAAAAGAGCTGTGAAACAACAAAGAAAAATGTAATGTGAACTGCCACATTAAAAAATTCTCACTAAGCCTTTATCACATTTTTTCGATAAAAGATAACTACCAAGAACCAAGGATCCCTCACTTATTTTCTCATGGAGCTATATTTTAACTGATCTCTAGTTTTACTTTCTGCCAAATGCATTGATTTCTGCTCTCCCCTCATTGCCATCCCCACAGGACGGATTTAATGTTCTTCATCTTTCTTACTTTGCTCTCTAACCTCCCAGTCATCAATACAAGTTTAAACCACAGAGCAACACTGTATTTTCTAAGCTCCATTAATTTTATTTGGTTTTATACACATGGAACATTGTATTGGATTGCAGTCATTCTAGTTGGACATTGTTTATTGTCTCTTGTGCCACAGTGTTTATCATTTGTATAAACCTTTCTGGCCAAGACAAACTATGGACCTACTTTTTGCTTTTATGTTAGACAAAATTTAATAAATAAATAAAATAAATAAAAATGTCTTAATTTCATGGATTTGCAAAAATAATGTTGTAAAATAGCAATCATATCCTGGGAGTAAGAGCCATTGAATTCAGTTAGAGTAATTTCTAAACAGATTAGGATTACATCTAAAAACAATAGTAATTTACCTGTTGTCCATCTGTTCCTGGGATACCAGGTGCACCAAATGAGCCCTGAAGAGAATCATATATCTGAATTTAGCAAAAATTATCAAACAGATCATGCAATACTTCACTATAGATGTTTATCTTTTGTAAATTATGAGACTTGATTTATACATTCAGCTTTCAATAGCGTTATTCTTTAAATTAAATATAAAGAATTATCCTTTTTATGTTATTGTTGTGTATTCTGTTTCAGAATTATGAAGCAAAGTTTGTGTGCTAAAACTGAATTCAATATTTAAAAGTTTCTCATAGTTTTAGAATATATTTCATATTTTATTTTTACAGAATTACGTAAATACCCCTAATTTTGAATATAGTTATCATCTACATGTTATCAATATGCTCCTTGCCTTTTTTATAAAATACTGAACTTAAACACACATGCCCATTTTAAACAATACTATGAAAGAAAATAAATCAAGTTTATTTGATCCATCCAATGTGCTGCTACTTGTTGAAAGGTTTTGAGGTCTAATCTGAAACAAAAAAATCACTTATGAATGAAAATCACCTATGAAAATTGTTCTCTTAATTACCACAGCATTTACTTAATGCCCACAGAGTTCACTTAATGATCATGGAAAAAAATATTGAAAAATTGGATAAAGCACATGATGCCTCAATTTACAATCACAATGATGTATGATCATAATTCCAGGCTTAATTACAATCTATTGAACAGCTATAGAGCCTGCATGCCAAAAGTGGACACATTACTGAATAATTTTTATTAAGAATTTTTACTATAATTTTATATAATTATATTAAATATATTAAAATTATATATTTTAATATAAGTAGAATATAATACAAACTAAACTTAAAGAAAAGAGACTAGAAAGAAACAAACCACATCGATTGCATTATGCTATTATGATAATATCTTATAATTTTATTTTGTATTTTTTAAAAAAGAAAATACTGCTTTCCAGTTATAATCAGAAGTTTTGCCTATTTTACAAGTAACAAATATTTTACTTTCCTTTAATTACTTCTTGAACCTCTACAGTTTATGAAATGTCAATTATAACATTTTATTTTAAAGAAACAGTGCTCAAAACGATTTAGTTGGTGAAGGATGGAGAGAGAGGGGGATAAGTTGTCAGGCAGCTGCTTCAGAAAATTCGTTTGAAATGTTTTTTTATTCCTGCCGTATTTGGTACTGGTGCAATGCTGCAGCCCATAAATTGTGAATTCACTCTTTCATTGTCAGTCCTGATGAATGTAAATAATATTGGAAACATTCACAGGAAATCAGTTCTCTGGTTACTATAGAAATCAAATTATACTGGCCAGCAATCAAAAATCCATATTTCAACAACACCTAGAATTTTTTTGTTCTCTTTATTTTTTTACATCATATGGCAGCAATCTATTCAAAGGCCAAATGAAATTCAAGCTGCATTTCCCACTATGTTCAGAGTTTGGTTTCATTATTTTACCAGTTATAGCAGCTTCTTTAACTGGTAAATTTAGCTAACAGAGTAAAAGGAAACATTGCCTCATCTCTTTAACTAAGCTGTGTTGGTGAGGAGTTGAGATTTTTCTTCTTCCTTTATAAAATAGAGCTCACGGACTAAACAGCTGCTATAGTATGTGGGATACAGTAGTGAAAGCCCTTTATACCAGCAGATTGTATCTTGGCACTAGGCAGCAAAAATCTTTCCTATCACTGTGTATACTATACCTTTTGTCCCGGAGGTCCCTGAGGTCCCTAAAAAGGAGAACAATGGAATTAACATAATAATGTAGACAATTTAACTAATTTAATAACTCATTAAAATAAAATTAATTAATTAATTAATAATTTAATTTAAAAAATTAAAATAACTAATTAAAAACATGCCCTATTCTGCAAACTGTCTATCTTGAGTCAAAGTCAACTGATGCTTTGTACATTAGGGAAAACATAAGTGTTCTGCAAAAATACAATAGGTATTTTTCTCTTCCTGAATATTAATTATGGCTTGCTAGACCCCTTTCTTTTTCTTTGGTTATCTTCTGTATCAGTGGTGGCAAACCTATGGCACGCATGCCAGAGGTGGCACTCAGAGCCCTCTCTGTGGGCACACGCACCATGCCCCGGAGATGGCAACCATCCCTCTTCAAACAGCCGCCCGCTAACTCGCCCACACGTGGCTGGATGCATCCCAGCATGGCTGGTTTCCCTCCCCCTGCCCATACCTCCTGGCCCCAGAGCCCCAGAGTGTGCCAGTCGAGGGGCCGGCAGGCTGTGGATGCTGACAGACACTTTTGGCCCCCATGCGCTCGCTGGCCTCAGTGTGCAGGGGCCGATGGTGTCAGGCAGCAGCTGCCCTGGCCCCTGTCTCACCTTGCCCTGAGGCAATGGCACCCCAGCCCTGCCTTGCCTTACCCCGCAGGACAAGCTTCCTGCCCACTGCCCCACCTGCCAGAGACCTCCTGGATCTCCCCGAACCCTGCCCAGCCCCCACAGGCATCCCTCCCCATGAGCAACATCGAGGTGACCACGCCCATCTTTGCCACACCCACCCAGTCTGCCATGACCACCACAGCCATGCGCACCCGGCACCCGGTAACAAATAAGTGGATTTTGGGTTGCAGTTTGGGCACTCGGTCTTTAAAAGGTTCGCCATCACTGTTCTATATTATACCTATTCTCTGTGTTACTGTATAGGGAATCACTGTTCAAACAAAATTGTTAGTAAAAAAACAATTTATAAACTTCCACATTATAAACTTGTTTGGCCAAGTATTTCAACCATAAATGTGAGCATTTAAAGTGAGGAGGAAAAGTTTACCTTTTGTTAATCAAATGATAATGGAGGTTGCAGAGGTAATATGAAGGCAGTGAAGAAAACAGAACTTTTATGAATTAAATACAGAATTAGGGCACCATTTACCTTAGTATTGTGTGTGGACTGAAGGCTTATAGAGAGAAACAGTGTTAAGCATTGCTATCAACTATTCCCATCCTCTATATGTGAAAAACTGCAAATCAGGATTGTCTCTTAAAATGGGATTTATTTAGGCTGTTATGATTGCTCTTTTAGTTAAGGAGCCAGATAAAACTTGTTAATTAAATATATAAATAAACAATGCATTGTTGTGCATGAGTTTGTAATACAGTAAGTTCTCTAAAAATAACCTTTTTACTTATTACGATATTATAACATAATATTGACATATTTTTCTTTCTGTTCCCAGAGGGAAATGAATCATATACACTAAAAAAAGGTCTTTCTTCAGCAAAAAGGCTGCCTGCAGCAGTTGTGGCTGAATATGCCAACTGTAATTAAAACCACCCTCAGAATGCATTTCACCGTTTATTCATACTGACATGTGTTCCTTGCCCTGTGAACTTGAAGCTCAGTGAGTTGAGTCAAACACTAGCTATATTCTGGAAACTCTCTAGATGGTCATAGAAGAGGTTTAGTACTTCAGTCATGAAGACTTTGCATTTTATTTATTTATAACGTATTTATAACTTTCTTTCCTGCCTATCTTTCTTCAGACTTTTAGAAAGAACAAAGGAATGCAATCTATTAGTATATATGCAAACTGACTTAACAGGCTAGCTGAACAGCAGAGGATACAATGCTAGTTTTAGCAAGTATGCTGCATGGATATTTGCAGCTTTTGTGGAAGGAACATTTTAAAAGAATGTATTTTAGCATTTTACATATTTTGTTCTTACATTTTTGTTTTGTTATTGGTTTATTTGGTTTTCTTGCAATATTTTATAATAGTTCTAACAATTTAACATGCTGATAAGAAATGGTACCCAATGTTACACGAACAGGGACAGTTGTTCTGTGTTATAAGTAAGTGCTCGGGACCTCCTGAAGGTATCAAATTCAGCACTGAGATTTTAAACTTGTTGGATAATGCAATCAAACAAAACTTTTTGTTATCAAATTTCAATATCTTTTAATAAACATATGACTGTTTTTATGTTGGGAATCAGCAGTTTTTCTCCATTTTTATCAAGGAGCAGAAGATATACATCTTGTATAAAAAGAAGTTTAAAAACAATAAAACAGAAGCAGTTCTTTTATGCCTTCTGCAATTTAACATTATGCCTTCCACAATTTAACATCCTCTTGATATGTATAGGAGATCAGTAGACTGAGCCCAAGGCAGGATCAAATGTGTTATCAGTTTGGAATCGCTACACTCCCACGAGAAATCCAAGTCCTGCCCCCTATGAATTCTGTTGCCAATTTGGCTTGATTGTTAATAGATCAGATTCTGGTGTATAGGTTCCATGTCATAAACAGCCATTTGGACAGCCATTTGTCTGAAATGGTATAGGGTTTCCTGCCTAAGCAGGGGATTGGACTAGATGACCTCCAAGGTCCTTCCAACTACTACTACTACTACTACTACTACTACTACTACTACTACTACTACTACTATTATTATTATTATTATTATTATTATTATTATTATTATTATTATTATTATTATTATTATTATTATTATTATTATTATTAACATTTAGTGCCTTGAGCTCAACTCCTATGCCTGGTTCTTGAGCCTAACAATATGTTAGGCAACAACTCCAAGATTCTAGGCAGCATATGAATTCTGGGAATTGTGTTCTAAAGATTTCTGGAAGATCCTGGTTGTAAATGTTTTTAGCAACAAGTAAAAATCTGATAACATATGGAGTTTGTGAAGAATTCAAAACTATAAATCTGATATATTTAATAAATTTGGATTCACGTTTAGGTCCAAAGAGTTAAAAAATTATTTGTTCTGCTAAATAAAAGTAATATTTTTTTCAAAAGTGAGGAAGTATCTGTAATATTATCATTCTTCACTATATAGTTTCACGTCTCATGTATAAATGTTATACCTGAGACACTTTGAGTGTGAGATGGGTGGTACCTAAATTTGATAGATAGATAGATAGATAGATAGATAGATAGATAGATAGATAGATAGATAGATAGATAGATAGATAGATAGATAGATAGATAGATGTTGTTTTAATCTTTTTCAATGAGCAGAAACAAAAAGTTGTATCACTTCTTTAATTAATTTGCCAAACATAACTACTGAACATTTTACATTTTTCTTTGAGGAAAGAAATTGTTGGTTTCAGTTATAGAACAGGGTCCTTCTAAAGTCTAGAAAGTATCCTGGCTTCAGATGGCCTTCTGAAAAGTAGTGAAGCCTGAATGTTTTTAAAAGTTTCTGGCCTATCATTGTTCAATCCAAGTATTTTAGATTATTCTCTTTAGTACTATTACTTTTATTTTGATTTGTTATGGATTTGTATTATATGATTAGATTAATGAGGTTGGATTTTTAAAATTATTATTACTGTTATTAATGAACGTTTTTCACATTTATGTCATTTCACGTTGTTGTATGTCATTGTGAAACTACATGATTTGGAAGCAAATATATTTAATGAACAATTATCCTGGCAATAAGAATATATCTTCTACCAAACAGAAAATGAAAATATAAACATACTTACCACCAATCCTTGTTCACCTGGTTTTCCAGGTTCTCCCTTAAATGCAAAATAATGATATAGATAATTAAAAAGGAGATGAATAGACAAAAATGATACCAAGCATAGATCCACTAATAACTATTTACTGTAAAGGTTATATGGTGCTTTCAGGGATCTTACATTGCCGAAGGGAAAAGTTACTGCACTCATGCTTTCTTTGTATGTGTCCTAAACTCTGCACAACTCAAAATACACCAACTAGGATAAAACAAGATAACAGAAAAAAGCAGACAAGAAACCTGATGTAGAAGGAGGGAATCAAACCCCCACCTCCCAAAACTTCCACCAATGTCTAATATTCAGTGAAAAGGGCACCAACCACCCTAGTCTTAGGCCCGGGAGAACAACCAGGTCTTTATGGCATTTTGGAATGGCACACTTCCAGGCTCTGATAGATTAGATTGTTTAATCAATTTTTTATACTGTTTAATTGAATTTTGCTGTGTTCTAATTGTATCCACATTTTTAATGAGGTGTTAAATAATAAAGTAAAATCATCCAGACTGTCTGGCTTCTATTTTGCTAAACAGCCAGTTTTTCACTCAAACACAAAATTCTAGGGCACGTCCTTTAGTTCACTTTATTTTTTATTTCAGTTTATTTTTTCTTATTTTATTTCATTTTGTCTTATCAAATTCTATCTTATTTTATTGTGGCTGGCACCCATTATTTCTTGATGTGGTCAACTGAGTAATCATAAAATTACTTATAGTATAAATTATAATAATAAAAGATGTAGGAATAGTTTCCTAGATATTCTTTCTCCTCAGATAGTTTTAGTTAAGTTCATGTATTTCCTTAAATGTTATTCTTACAAAATAGGAGAACACAGTACTATTTCCTTTAACACTAATTTCCTGGACTGGTAACTGGTAAAAGATTAAAATTCTTAATGTAATTTTTCATAGAAAACTTTTCTAGATAGATCTTAAATATATGAATTTAATATAGAAATTAATTATAATTATATCAATTTATGAATTTATGAGTTTTTTTTCTGGCATACAAGGCTCTGAAAATTTTAATTAACTATAACAATCTGTAGAAAACATAACCAGAATAATTTTTTTAATTGTTATCCTATGATGCATGCATTCATAGAGCTATTTATTCATTAACAAAAAAATCCATTAACTATGATTAAAAAAATAGGAAAAAATAAAAAGTATTATTTAATATACTATTTTATTATAGTATCACTGTGCTATAATAATTTTTATTGGAGAAATAAAAATACCATTTCTTTCTTTTTCAGCAAAAGGTTATTAACCCTAAAGGGTTTGTTAAAAAAAAGTTTTAATCAGCTCTGCTAAGTCCAGCACTTGCTTTTCAGGTAGATATTTTGAAATGAAACAAGTCAGTTAATTCCCCGTCTACACCAGTGATCTTAACGTGTGATGCATATGATGTGTAATATCTATGATGACTGACTCACCGGCACCCCAGGCATTCCTCGTGGCCCATCTTTGCCAGTATCTCCAGGAGGCCCTCTTGGTCCAGGGGGTCCAGGAGGTCCAGGAGGTCCAACTTGCCCTTGATCACCCTGAACATCCATCAATAAGACCAATGTTAATATGTTCAAACAATCCAGTATAATAAAGAATGTTCAAGAAATCCCTCAAGTTGATGTTCTTAAGGTCAAAATAATTGATTGACAAGGATTTTAGTCAGTCTATGTGTATAACTAAGTACTCATATTTATCATATACTAGACAACCTGTGACATGCTGGGTCACCATTTCAAAGATATTATCTTACCTAAACAGAGAAACAGAGGGATCATCAGTTGATGCAGGAGCAGGAGTGACTTGATTTGCCCTTTTCCATTGACTTTCCTTGTGGGAAGCTGGCAAGGAACATTGAACCATTGCTTCCTTCCTTCCTTCCTTCCCTCCCTCCCTCCCTCCCATTTTTTTTTATAACAAAGAACTGGTTACCTCTCAGAAAAGAGAAGGAATTGGATTTAGGCCTACAATTCCTAAACAATTGATTGGCATTAATTGTGCATGATCACTTGATGCTGCTGATAGCTACTCCTTTTAGGCAAGAACATGGCCTCAGTTATCCTTTTAAAAAGTTCTGTTGGATTATGACTTCCTGTTCTTTGTGGCCTCTGAAGCTATTTTAAAACAGCATCAGTCATCTTGATTGGAAAGTGACAAAATTCACAAGTATAATAAAGCAATGCATTCTTAAACCATAAGTAAGCACACTTTTAACATGCAAGTAACAGAGAATGTGCAGGAAAAATATTCTCCATTTGTACATGACACAAACTACAATGATCTTGTGAAAGTTCTGCATTTGAAGAATATCCAGAAAAGATTATCTCAGATTTACTGCTCCCAAATTTCACAGATATTTGCCCGTAGGGAGAAAACCATTTCTTTGGATGTTGTATTAAAGGTTGAGCAATTAGTGTTAAATGGAGGCTGTAAAACTTTTATGATAGGTTACAAAATTAGCTCATGAGATTCAGCAAGTGAGAACCGATTGACATCTAAGGGGGCAGTGAAATATGACTTCTTGCTGAAATCTGTACATTTTTTAAGCTTTATGTCAGATAGCTTTATATTTATTTAATTTCTTTTTTTAAGCAATCTTTTTATAAGTACAATTAAGAACATCAACTTGAGGGATATCAGTCTATCCACTTCACAATGCATCATGCTGAGTAATTAACTGTTAAATTAACAATCACTTTTCCTTCAAAAATACTGTTTTATCCAATTTCCAATAAAATTAATAAGCCCACACAGGACAATTGATAAAATTAATTAGTACTATATAATGAAACCCCATGAATTTTTTGTAGCTGTTTAAAAAAAAAAAGTAAATATCCATTTCGTTAATAGTAATTTAGTTTGAAAAAAGCTTCATCAATATTTATAATTTAGCAATCAGCTGCAAGCAAGAGAATGGGAAAAGTTCAGAGAGAGATGAAGCACTACCTTAATGAGGCGGCGTTTAATGAGCTGCTGATCAGCAGAGAGAAACCCATGATTGATTTTAGGAAACACCATCTGATCAGGCAGGTGAGGTCAAAGGTTGAAGTGCAGAGGTGAAAGAATTGAAGAACAGACATCAGAAGGCACCAAAGAAGAAATAGAAAGATATACATTAGACTTGTAATAGCAAATATAACTTCCAACTGGTGCTTCTGTCTATCAAAAGAATCTATGCTTTGTTTTAGAATTATTGCACAGATGCACAAGTGGGAGGTGGAGCCTCCATGGTGTTGTCCTTATATGAAATAAGCGGTAACACGAAATTGCTCTCAAAACTCCTAATTGGACTTCAAATTTTAAAATATTTCTTCAGCAACTGGAAGATCAAAATGAAATGTTTTTATTTCACATCATGAGCAAAGATTCCAAGACACAAAGCACCAGTTCAGCTTTAGTCAGACTTTCCAAATAGCATATGATGCCAGGTGCAATAGGACCTTTAAATAGGCATAATGGCCTGCTGGTCCCTAGATAGGTAAAATCATAATTAATTAATTTTTAGAGAATGTAAGGGTATGTGAGTAGGTCACCACCTACAAAATAAATGGTGAATATTATTAGTAAGATTTATACACTCTTTTAATCTTTGTGATTGTTTTATAAGTAGAGTGCTCTGTTTTGGCCATTAAAAGTATTTACAGAAATACCACCATATAAGTTTGGGTTTATCTAATGCAGTTCTGACTAATCCCTCTGCAATGCAACATTATTGAAGAAATAAAGATCATATAAGGGATGATCAGGTGAATTGACCAGCTTCTGACAGCAAATTAATTATCCATGACATCTTTATGCTGATATAGAAAGACTGCCTAGCTGATGCATGTTGGCCACAAACCTTGACGGTGAGGATCTGATTACTGTGAAGGGCAGCAACTGTGGGGAAGCCTGGCAGACCCTAGGGACATACACACACACAATACCAAAATAACACGACACAAAACGTCACACAGAATGGCAAATTAACAACAGACACAACGTTAGGTTTATAACTCAATCTTCAGATTTGTTATAGATGGTGGCATCTTATATATTTCATTTTATTTTGAACAAATATGAAGGGTCTCCAGGATTAAAGAGATCACCTATAAATATAAAATATTTGAAATAACTATTTCAATATCAGTGTCTTATTTATTAGCCACAATGGAAATAGGCCACCTTCTTCAGAATAATGTTATATTGTGGATTTAGGAATGTTAAATTAAATCTATAAGTGAACAACAACTCTGAAATGATATAGCTTTTAAAGTTTAATAGGGTTTTTTTTGTTACCATGCAACATAAAGAACATAAAGTATCAGTGACACACAAACATACAGGTACATTAAATTGAACATTTTACTATGTTGGAACTAAAGAGTTAAAGGTGTATCTTTCACATTAATCAGAATTAAAATTTTTAATATCCTTACAAACTAAGATTATCAGATGCAAGAGAAGATATGTACATCTGATTTCTTCCAACTTTCCAGTACTGTTTTGGGAGATAGCGGGGAAGGGTATATAGATTATAAAAAGGGATAAATTTCACACTTACTGGAACAGATTTTTTGAGTATATTTTTTTTAAACAACCAACCATTCAATCATTCAGGAGAAAAACAAACAAATAAATGTACATTTTATTTATTTATTTATTTTTATTTATTTTTTGGATTTATATCCCGCCCTTCTCCCGTAGGACTCAGGGCGGCTGACAATCTATTTAAAATACATACAAAACAATACAAATTTAAAATTAATTAAAAGGAATATTTAAATATTTGTCAAATTTTAAAATATAATTAAAA